GTAACTTCTAGCCTCTAACTTTCCAGACCATTTTTTCTATTAAAAGTTGAATTTGTAAGCCATTGTCTATAACTGTTAATAGTTGAAGTACCTCAGTTAGCCACATTTGCCTACTTTATTAAACAGAGGAAAGTGAGGAGACCTTAAAAAACACCAAAGAAATTCAAAGAAAAGCAGAAGAAAAATATGAAGTATTAGAGAATAAAATGAAAAATGCAGAAGCTGAAAGAGAGAAAGAGCTGAAGGATGCTCAGAAAAAACTTGATTGTGCCAAAACAAAAGCAGATGCTTCCAGCAAGAAAATGAAAGAAAAACAACAGGTAATAACCTTTGTTGAAATAGAACCAATCTTTTAACATCAACACAGAGCTGAAGGTGGTAGAGCACCAGTGGTTGGCCTTATTTTTCAGTATTCATCACAGAATTTAAAAACAGAGTACTTTTTTAGGAAATATATCTTGTTATGTCATATCGAATTCAGTATTTATTTTGTTGATCATTTATGTGAATGTAAACTGTGAAAGAATGATGTAGGACAAAGCATGCTGTATTTATGGAATGCCATTCGATTGTAGGTTGGTGATATTTGATTATATCTTTTGGATAGTACCAAAGCTGGGAATTAAATCTAGATTTTTCTCTGACTCTAGTGTCTATGTTCTGAATCACTGTTCCATAAAATTTCACTTTTCTTCATAGTTATTTTTTTAACTCATGCTTTTGTCATTAAATAGCTGCACAAATTATTTTCTAATGATAAGAAAGGCTTTAACAGGAAAGAAGAAAATAGAGAAACTAGGTTTTTTTACATTGTTTAGAAAAGGCTTTACCTGTACTTAATGTATCTGTTATGTAGGATTCGATATTGTTTTCCCCTGTAGGAGTAAAAGGAGAATAGTTCATGCAAAGTTCCTTGAACTGGTAAAAAAAATGACAAATGTATGTGCAATATTTAAGTATAGGAGAGTAAATTTTATTTTCCCTCCCTTCTTCTGGTGAAGCAGTTTAGATATGTTTTAGGTCAGTGATGGCGAACCTTTTGAGCTCGGCGTGTCAGCATTTTGAAAAACCCTAACTTAACTCTGGTGCCGTGTCACATATAGAAATTTTTTGATGTTTGCAACCATAGTAAAACAAAGACTTATATTTTTGATATTTATTGTATATATTTAAATGCCATTTAAGAAAAATCAACCAAAAAAATGAGTGCGTGTCACCTCTGACACGCATGTCATAGGTTCACCATCACTGTTTAGGTAGTTAAACAATTAAGCTGTTGGTCTTACTTGCATGAGAGTCTTACTAATTTTGTTGATATGTAGTATTTACTTTTCAGTAGTTAATGCCCTGTGTTTCTTATAGGAAGTTGAAGCTATCACTCTGGAACTAGAAGAGCTCAAGAGAGAGCATGCATCCTGTGAACAACAGCTTGAAGCTGTAAATGAAGCCATCAAATCCTATGAAGGTCAGATTGAAGTGATGGCAGTTGAGGTGGCTAAAAGTAAGGTAAGGTTTATTTACCATATTGAGGAAATTGCAAATGTTCATCTACTTATATAACATTGGCTAGAAAACATTTAATTAACTTTAGAGGTCTCAATATCTTCACTCAAAAATAACTACTGATCCAGAAAGAGTCCTGAAATAATGTTACTAATTATTTTAGTCCAGGTTTATTCAGATAACAAAAACTACACAGTAATTTGAACAGGGAACTTTTAAATTAAGAAAATTATTAACAGTAATAGGAATTTGGAATGATGTGGGATCACTAAGGGGTTTAGAGAACTCTGAAAATAGGAACAGCAGATAAGGGAACAGCTATTACCTGTAGGGCTGAAGCAGTGTCCCCATGGACGAAATAAATCTGGAAAGAGCCCCATTCCACTGCAGGGCTGAGAATCAGATGTAGTTGGAGAAGACCTGACTGTGGCCCACTGGTGAGGTTTGGAGAGCCAGGGAAAGCCCTCTGTAGGAAAGTGCTGTGTGGGCGGCGCTTGCTAAGAAACAGCTTTCTGTGATGCCAGGGGAGACTGGCTGTGGGGAGGCGCCTAGCCTGTGAACATGCTGAGAAGCCCCCTCACTGCCATGAAGCTTGTCCTTGAGAAAAGCACACCAGACAGTAAAGCCCCTTCCTTCTACACAGTGTCCCCACAGCATCCTTTCCTGAGGAGGCATGATATTGTAGCTGGCGAGGGGAGACTTCATGATAGCAGAAGCAGGCAGTGGATTTGGAGTCAAGGGGGTTTCTTAGGGTATGTCTTTCTTATTAGAGATTGCCCCTCCTGAATATTGGGATACCTTCTTGTCCCTTTTTGTGATTTTGACTTTGAATTCTGTTGTTTCATGTTAATAAGTTATAACTGACATTAGTTTCAGGTGTAGAATATAATGATTAATATTTGTATGTATTGCAAAATGATCATCAAAGTCTAGTTAACATCTGTCAACACACAGTTATATTTTTCATGTGATGAGAACTTTTAACTTATTCTCTTAGCAACTTTTAATTATGTATTAACTAGTAACCACACCAGTACTTCCATTTTTGTGATATAAGAAATGAAGTTTTCTGTCATGTTGCTATCAATACTGTTTTTGTAAATAGTATGTTATTGATTTTCATGTTAACAAAATGTACACAGCTTAACAGGAGTCCCATTCATTTACCTACATTGTGGTAAAAGAATGTTTTTGCCTTGCTGCTACTTCTACATCTTCCCCTTGAAACGACTTTTAATTATTGTATTATCCTGTATTTTGAAAAGTAGGTCTTTCCTCTTGATTCTGTTCCTGTTTAAATTCGTTTTTTGTTGTTGTTTATAAGGGATAGAAATGCTTCTCAGCTTTGTGGTTTGTGATTAAGTTTTCTATAGTTTCTATTACGTCTCCAAAGGAAATTTTAGTTTTTAAAACATGTTTCCTTTGATATATCTTTTTATCTCATTCGTCCATATTTTCTGTCTTTCATGAATATCATGGTGTAGAATTTTTAAAAATTAGACACTCCTTCCTTCATCTAAATAAAGTCAAAGCATGTACCTCTTTCTATAAAGGATATCCATTTCTCTTTATGGAACACTATAAAATGGGTCACTTAGTTTTTAAAGGTTGTTCTTTCAGACTTTACATTCTAAATTGTTTTCCTTTGCTGATAAGAGGTGTCAAGGACATTCTAGGGAGTTAAGAAAATAAACTGCCTAAAACTAATTAGCTTAAAACAAAGAACACTAAAATTTTGTTTCTGCTCAACCTTAAGTGACAGATTTCCTGTTTTTCCCTACCATTATAAAAACGATTATTTAACAGATTAAGGATTGCACTGCAGGTGTGACTGATTTAATGTTTAGGCAGTCTGCTTCATAAACATGTTTTTGTCAGATACAGCATTAGTTAGATTCAACATAAACTTGTCTGTTTTCCTTTGGTTAATATCACCAGAGTATTTTTTATTATTGTTTTTTAAAACTTTTAAAAAGCTAAAATGTCTTTGGGTCTTTTTAGATCAGTGATTTTTGACCTTTTTCATCGCATGGCACAAATAAATGAATTACTAAAATTCTGTGGCACACCAAAAAGTATCTATATTTTTTGCAGATCTGACCAAAAAATGGGTAAAATTTGTATTGATATACAACAGATGGCTATTGTTGTGTTGGCTATTGTTATTTTTTTATTTGACAATAGGTAAAAAGGTAAAAAGGTCAGTGCCCCTGACTAAATAGTCAGGTACTGCATGTTTTAAAAATACTTGTGTCACACCAGTTGAAAATCTCTGCCCTAAGGTGTTCCTGAACAGCCAAGCAACAGGCAGGTGCTATTTACTCAATATAACTCAATCATAAATGCAAGAGTTAACTACCTTTTCAAAATTCTGCAGTTGAA